AATTAATAAATTATAAAAAGATGTGACAAAAATATGATTGATGTCGATTGCAAAAGTTAATAACAAACCTATTAGATGATCTCAAGAGATAATCCATCAAAAGCTTCATTTGATTGATTCAGAACAATATTTCATGTTACGATCTACAAACTTAAACATGTTCTTGCGTTAATTTATGACAATTGCTTTAAAGCAGACCATAGCTTGCGACTAAAAAACCCAATCATCACATTTATGCACAAATTGACAAAATGCCCTAAACCGGGTAAAAATGGTTTCTTTCAAATTATAACTTCTGTTGGTTAGTAGAGACATAAAAACTGATTCCATTAGTGTGGTGCATGAGTTTCTCTGACCTACAGTTTTTGAGAAAATTTAGGCCAAAGTTGAAACTTCGATTGGCTTTTGTACGATTATGGAAGCAGTTTTTTTCACCAAACTCTATTTTACGGATGGATTTTTTGATAGCAAACCAACCAATGCACTTACTTTGAGAAATAAATCTTTCAATTTTCTGCAAAACGCTTCACTTCGATTTCCAGTTAAACTGGCCGCTTTCTGTGATTGCAAGAGTTACTGAGCTTAAACTTGATGTTTGTCCATGAAAATTGTCGCTACATATCATAGATCTAATACTTTTTTGAATGCATCAACTGTTCTCTAGATTTTGGCCTTTGGTCCAAAAACTTTAAGCCTCAATATTTCGAGATTGTTAGCACCTAAAGTCTTCATTCTTTGACCAATTTATTCTTTACTAATTTATAATGCAATTCAATTTAATTTCTTTCCATTTGTACGTTTGGGCCATGATTTCTGGCATTTATATGCACGCGTAACAACTTATTTAGCAAAACAAACTCATCTTTACCCATTTCTTGGTTTATAAAGCAATTTTCTGGTTAAGTTTGTAAATGAAAGGCAAAGAATGCTGCCAAAGGGGCAAACATTTGAGTAAAGAGTTCAAACTTTATGGGTTTGTAGGGACATTAAAACTATATTCATCTATACTATTAAAAAATTCATCCGATAGATAATTTTTGATTTATTCGAGTTCAAAGTCGTAACTTCGAACGCCTCTTGTTCATCTATCGCGGTAGATTCTTACATAAAACTCTATTTCACTGATGGGAATTTCAATGGCTAACCAGGAAATCTACTTACTTTGAGAAATAAAACTTTCTGTTTTCTGTAAATCAGATTATTTCGATTCTCAGTTGAACCGACCTTAATCTGTTACTAAAAGATTTAGCGAGCTAATACTCATTTGTTGTTGATAAAAATTGATGGCCAACATCATGGAGTCAATGCTTGTTCTAGTTCATCAATATTGCTCTCGATTTTGGCCTTTAATCTAAAAACTTTCAACATCAATATTTCGCGAACGGTGTCATCTATAATAACGATTCTGCAGCCAAACATTAGATTCTATGATGGGCTATAATATAATATGTCTGAATATCCAAAAACTTTAAGCCTCAGTATTTCGAGAACGGTAGCAAATACAGTCATCAGTCTTTGACCAATTTGATTCTATACTAATTAATCATGCAATTCAATTTAATTTCTTTCCATTTGTACGTTTGGGTCATGATTTCTGGCATGTAAATGCACGATTAATAGCTTATTTAACAAAACAAACTCATCTTTACCCATTTCTTGGTTTATAAAGCAATTTTCTGGTTAAGTTTGTAAATGAAAGGCAAAGAATGCTGTCAAAGGGGCAAACATTTGAGTAAAGAGATGAAACTTTATGGGTTTGTAGAAGCCTTAAAACTATATAAAAACTCATTTCGATTTCCAGTAAAACTGGCCGCTTTCTGTGATTGCAAGAGTTAGAGAGCCAAAACTCAATATTTGTCGTTAAGAATTGTCGCTACACATCATCCACACACAAAGAGTTAATGTAATGTTTGGTTAAAGAATGATAATTGTAGGTGATGCGATTCGCGAAATATCGATGTTTAGAGTTTTTGAACCAAAGGCCAAAAGCAAGAGAACTGTTGATGGATTAGAAAAAGTTTTTAATCCATGATGTGTACAATCAATTTATATTGACAAATAATGAGTTCCAGCTCTTTAAATTTTACTGCTACAGAATGCGGCCAGTTTAACTGAAAATCGAACTTATCTGTTTCGCAGAAAATAGAAAGTGTTATTTTTCAAAATAAGTAGATTTCCAGGTTGACCATAGAATTTACATTAGTAAAATAAAGTTTCATGTAAGGTTCTACTTCCACAGATGAACGAAAGACAATCGAAGTTACAAATTTGGCCTCAATTTTATCAAAAACTATCCATCGGATGAATTTTTTAATAGTACAAATTGATACAGTTTGCATGCCCTAACGATCACATTTAGTCTCACCTCTTTACGGAAATTTTGGAGCCTTTGGTAGCAATCTTTGCATTTCATTTGTAAACTCAACCAGAAAATTGCTTGATAAACCAAGAAATGGGTAAAGATGAGTTTGTTTTGTTAAATAAGCTATTAATCGTGCATTTAACTGCCAGAAATAATGACTCAAAAGCACTAACGGAAAGAAATTAAATTGCATTGCATTATAAATAAGTAAAGGATCAAATTGGTCAAAGACTGATGACTGTATTTGCAACAATTCTCGAAATATTGAGGTTCAAAGTTTTGCGGCCAATGGCCAGAAACAAGAGAACAGTTTATGAATTCCAAAAAGTATTAGATCTGTGATGTGTAGCGACAATTCTTAACGACAAATATTGAGTTTTGGCTCTCTAACTCTTGCAATCACAGAAAGCGGCCAGTTTTACTGGAAATCGAAATGATCTGTTTCGCAGAAAAACGAAAGTTTCATTTCTCAAAGTAAGTGCATTTTATGGTTTGCTATCGAAAGTTTCATGGATTAGACAAAGTATTTAAGCCATGATGTGTGCAAACAATTCATATTGATAAATAAAAAGTTGCAGCTTTTAAAGTCTTACGACTACAGAATGCGGCCAGTTTAACTGAAAATCGAATTTATCTGTTTTGCAGAAAATTGGAAGATTTATTTCGCAAAATAAGGGCATTTTCTGATTTGCTATCAGAAATTGTATTAGCGACCTGAATTTCATGTAAAAATCTACAAAAGGGAATCGAAGTTTCAATGCTGACCTAAATTTTCACGAAAACTGTTGCTCAGAGAAACTTTTGCATCACACAAATAGACTCAGCTTTTATGTCTCTACAAACCAACAGAAGTTTGAATTCGAAAGAAATCAGTTTTCGATCATTTGCGTCAATTTGTGCAGAAATGTGACAATTGTGTTAACTGTTTCTTTTTTAGCAACAATCATAAAATTAAATAACTTTACAAAGACTTAAGTAAGCCTTTATTTGTAATATTGATCAGGTTTTTCTAGAATTCGATATTGCATCTTCTGAATAAACAATTATGATCACTGAAAAATATAAAATTAAATTGATTGAATTTCAAGTTTTCATTCGCAATCAACATCTGTATTTAAATGATTGATTTTCTAAAGATTTGAGTTTCAGCTCAATCGAGGTTTGAAATAAAAATTGAAAGCTTTTGAAATTATTTCGTGCTGTTTAAATTCTTTATTATTGTTAATTGCTGAGTTTATGTTGGGCTCTTCATAAATTGAACTGCGTGTTTACAAATATTTAAAGTAAGCTGTATAAGCGACCATTAACGGAGAACATCAATATGCCAAACTCGCGAAACTTTTCGATGAAGGATCTTGTTTGGTGATCTCTTATAACCTTTTGGGTAGGCTTGAGGTTTTGACCAGTCAGATCTTTGTTTGTCATTCTTATACGGCTTGTGACTTTTGCGACTTTCAACAGATTTTTCATTGAGATTAAACATTCGTAACATTATGTCAGAGTAACTGATGCCAAACCAAATGCCCAAACAACTGGCAACATAACATGAGTATTCAACTGTAGCTAGATATGGTGTGACATTGTAAACGAATTCAAGTCCATAAGGTCGACGAGCCGCGAATCTGGTCAAATTGGAACGAGTTTCTTTGAAATGATTCCAGACGAGATTCGAAGAGTACCACGAGCTTTTACATGCAACAGGACAGATTTCAAAGGATTCACATTTATAGTCGCTTGGACTTGGACAAGTGTGTTGCCGGGAACGAAACGGTAATTTTGAATTCACAGGAGCAGGGACTTCTGATGACCATGAGCCACAAGTTGCCAAAGCAATTCGATTGCGACATTCGAATATGCAGCCTTGTCTTCGAAACATGACATCTGTATAGTCCAAGCAATTAGTGAAAAAGATGTAACTTGGTAAAGAGACGACTATTCGTGAAGTAACAATAACAACGTCACTGGATTGGTTAGTAAATATTGTTAGAAAATCAGATTCCGGCAAGTTTAATATTTCGATCGGATTATGAAGATAAACATAAAATGAATTAGGTTTAGCTGAGTAAATTTCAAGCTGATAAAAGTCTTTAGCTTCATTAGAGATCACAGTTAGAGGTCGATCCTCCTTTTGATGCAAATAAGTTGTACAATGAGTTATCTCCTTGAAAGCTTGGTTGTATTGCATGGAATGTATTGTTTCCCCGAAAAGGTCACAAGGTTGGCCATCAGGAGCACCATCGATTACCCTTGGATATTTAGTTCGACAGAACACTTTAACATCGATTGTTTCCAAAGTTGACAGAATATTGATTGGCAAGTAAGTGACCTCTTCTTTCATTTGGGCGAAAGTCAAATTCCGAGTGTGAAACAAATGGTTCAAAGTTTTTGGATGAGGATCCAAAGGCAGGCAAACGGTGATTGCTGGCATTGTCAAGTTGATTGGTGCGTCCATTTCAATATCGACTCGTGTCTGGAAACCAAAAAATATCTCCGAAACTTGATAAACTTGCCAAAAAAGGCCCAAAGAAGCGAAAAGCCAACACAGCAAATTTGGCAAATGTTTTCTCTTCATTTTGGTCTTCAGATTGGATATTTGAAATGCTTGAAATTAAGAAATGAATAGAAACAGTATTTTCAGTTCGCAAGGTATATTTTAATATCTTTGACCTCATGAAAAACTAGTAATCTTATTTAAAAAGAATTTGATAACATTTTCTAAAGATTTTTCGATGATTAAGTTAACATGTGATGAAAATTTTCAGTAATAACAGTAAATACTTTTTTTCCAATGAAGATCAAGGAAGAAAAAATATGAAAAAATGATGAATTTTGAGTGATTGAAAATGACATGACTGAGTTGAACAAAGAGAGAGAGAGAGAAAGAGATAAAAATCAATAGATGTACACAATTAGATGAGAAGAGAGATTTTAACAAGTGATAACAATTTGTTAACTGTTAACATTAACAATGAGAAAGACGCAAATTGAAAAAAGAAAGGCGAGGAATGAGAGAAAATAAAATTATAAAAATGAGACAAATCAATGAGAATGTGTTTAAATTTGAATAGGAGAGGGTCCACTATGTTTAGGTTGTACTCGAGAAGATGAGGAAGCTTTCATATTATGTGTTGATGATGAGATATTGGCTTGATTTGGCATCACTTGACTTGGAACTTCAATGGATGATCGTACACTGTTTAGCGTATTGGTACCAGTGTTTGATTTAATACTTGGCTTTTGAACAAGTTTACCACTTGTAATTAATCTACCGAAACCTTCTTGATGGGCGAATGCATAACCCGATCTCACAGATCGTCGACTTCGGCGAACTGAGCTTCTACGTCGTGTGATGGGTTCGATGGGTTTAATCTTTAATCGAGTCAATCTTTGTTTTAATCGACATCGATCACTCAGAGTTGGATGTACATTAACTTGATAGAAACGAGATGCAATCACTGGAATTAAAAGGATAACCAGTGTTAAAAATAATGTAAACCAAAATTGTCCCGTGCTTAGCGCAGTTCGTAGGCAGCCAAGATATTGATTGCGGATAAAATTGCTATTAATGAAAAGTGTCATAGCAAAATAAAAGGCCACACTTCCCCAAATAACAACATGATTAAATACAGTCCAATAAGCGGTATCCAAGGCAATCTGTAAGAGATAAAAGCATATTTCAATTATTACTTGAAACACGAACAAAATAATTGAATCTGAATCAAAGTTCAAATACACCTGAAAAATTGTCAATCAATAAAGTACATTTAGTGAGTTTGTACATTCAATAGCTATTCTATGGTTTTAGAATAAATTTATTTATTTATAATCTATTAATAAACACCAAATAACAAACTGTTGCAACAGAAAAATGATGTATTATCATATAACAACAAACTAGATTATGTAAATATTCAAAATTAAATTTTTCAACATAACTGACAGAATAAATTAGGTCTTTTAATGAATATGATCGATGCATCCGTTTGCATGATTTATTTGAAAGTTTCCTCTGAATTTAATTGAACCATTCAATAACTTTAATAGCAGTGGATATAAAGCTCAATAAAATCAGATGACTAAATAGAACCTAGTCACAGATATTGCAGGTGGAAAACTGTTGACTCTGAATAGGAAAACCTGTAAATGTAAACAAAAGGGAAATAGTACCTGTGCTGTTACCACTAAAACGAGAATCGTTGAAACGACTGTACCAAAAATTTGGTGCCCATCATAGTTAATACCTTCTGGTCCAATTGCTTCTCTGAAAGCCCCATAAGAGATGAAAAATAAAACAAATGAGGTGATAATACCATGAGCCACACTTTTTAAGAACTCAATTTTGTTGAACAGGAGATCACCATGACCTGGGGTATATAATAAAGGATACCGGATCGACATTCGATCGTCCACATCTTGGTCGAATATACCAAGAGCTAAGACTGGCAGGGATGTATAGAAGACATTGTAGAATGATATGAAAACAGGATCATATAGAGTCTGAAGATAGAAAATTAGTACAGAAATTAGTAAAAATCAATATTTTTTAAACCTGAAACTAACCTGAGCCGAGAAACCGCAGAAAAATGCGTACCAGAAATGGCAAAGAGTAAAGGCAAAATTTTTATAGAAAAAGTATCTTAAAAATTTGGCCATACGATAGTATGACCAACGACCATGAACTAGCAACAGCCTTTCTAAAAAACGAAACTGAGCCAATGCAAAATCTGACGATAAAACCGCTTGCATTCCTTCCTGTCCACTAATGCCAACTCCAATGTGAGCCACTAAAAATGGAAGAAAATGAATTAGAAATTAAGATCTTTTCAGTGATTATCAAGATATTATTGACATTGAGACATCAATTCAATATTTGCTGAGGCAGCAATTCCTTAAGTAAATAGCTTAATGTAATGCATTCAATTACAAGGTGGTATTATAATTGAGATCAACACTGAAGTAAACTCACTTTTAATCATACTAACATCATTGGCACCATCTCCAATGGCCAAAGTAACAGCTTTTTTATGCCTTTTAACAAGATCAACAACAAGAGCTTTTTGCAATGGAGTTACTCGGCAACAAATAACAGATCGACAACATGATGCAACTTCAAGGAAGAGTAATTCAATTTGTGGTTGAAGAGCATGAACTAAACTATGACCATTAACAACCAAAGCAAACCCACCAAAAGCTCCTCCATCTTTACCGACAAGCTCTTCAATTCCAGTTCCTAAATGTTGTTGATGGTGAGATTGATTTTGATGATTGTTATGATGATCGCCTTTACCATCAACATGATCCACCTTTTGATTAGCCCATGGCTTACCTCCGGAAACATTGTTGCCTGGAGACACGTGGGTTACATCACTGGCATCACTAAAGGTAACTACAGAACAGGCTCCACCGACTTTACCTTGAGCTGAAATATTGCGAATACTTTCTCTACAACGCAATAATTCTTGTTCAACTTCATCATATTCCCAACCTTCAATAATAAATATATCAACCATTTCATCAGTTAACAATTGACAAGAGTAACCAATGTTGATGGCAGTTTCTTGTTTATCGCCGGTTAAAACCCAAATTTTTATGTTGGCCGCAGAAAGATTGGCAATACATTGAGGAACACCTTCTTGGAGTTTGTCTTCGATGGCAGTTGCTCCAAGTAACATCATATCCTTTTCGATCAATTCATAAACGGCAGAAACTTTGTCTTCCCGATCGACTAAACTTGTAGCAGCTTCATGGAGCTGTGCTTTCCACTTCTCAACCGTCTCTTCGTCCAACTCCTTTTTTGCTAGACATAATGTTCGAAGTCCTTCACTAGCAAATCGATTGAGATGCTCTAGAGTTTCCTGTCTAACATCCTCGCAATTAGCATGTAACCTTTCGAATATCACAGAATCAGCACCTTTGCAATATAGAGTTATCTTTCCATCTTTTTTGATTATCACCTGAATTAACAGAAACAAGTAAAAACATTAGAAATAATTGAGTCAAATTTTCTAAATCTATTGTTAGGAAATTTCTTATAAAATAGATTTTTGTATTATCGTAAATTGTTCTAACCCTGAATTTCAAATGGTGTATTGTGATTGACATGATTTTTTAATATAAATATATCAACAATATTTACATCTGATAATGAACTCAATATGGACTTATGAAATTATTAATATAATTTGAATGCAAAGAGGTTGGTTCTATAATATGTATTATAATAGATGAACTGATAACGATGAGATTGTGTAAAATTTACATGGATAACATCTGTATACCTTTGTACGCCTTTTTTATGGTTGGAAATAATTTATTACTGAACAATCACAAGGATATTGATAGTTTTAGAGAACACAAGAATTCATTTTAATAAAAAAATGATTAGCCAACGAATGAAGCTGTAATAATATAAGAATGCATAGAAATCTTCTATCTGATTTTGTTAAGTTTGCTGAGATATTATCGAGTTGAAAAATGCAAAAAAATGAACATGAAATGAATACTTACAGACATTCTCTTACGAACATTGTTAAAATCCAAAATGGCAATCAATTCGTACTCTTCGGTTTCCCCAAGAACTTCAATTGTAACGGAATTGGGAGTTCTGCTCTGAAATTCAAAAACAATAAATAGGTTAGAATCAGATGACAGGAGTCAGAAAAACAAAATTGATTGGGAAGATAAAACTGAGAAAATTCCCAACATTTTCTATTAACGAGATGACCCATTCAACAGATTGAAAAGGATCAATAAAAATGAACCCAAATGAATAACAAAACAGAATGAAAAGTTAAATGTAAAGTATATCTTGTGAATAACTGATTGTTGACAAAGCCAATTCAACAAGATTCATTTAAATTAATTGGTTAGGGTAACAAGAGATTCTGGGTAAGAGAAAGATTAAGAGAATCGATTAAAATGAATATTGATGAAAAGGAAAGATTTGAGGATAAAATATGGATCAATGAAAAAATACATAGGTGGACATGATTCATAGTCTATTGTATTATCATTGTCTAATAGATGAAATATTCACCTTTTTGGGTAACATTTCGTGCATTGATTCAACTTTGCCCAGAGTTTTGTTTATTATTTTACAGCTGAAACTAAACCCAAAAACTAACAACCATTGGTTCTCATAATATTATTATAGCATTAAGATTATTGAACAAATCTGTGTTTGCTGTTTTCAGATTTTGATATTGATGACAAATTGTAACTCATAATATCTGTTATTATTAGTACAGTATTTTGCAACAAATAAATTGATGAAAATTGAAAAATGATTGAGAAAGTTTGGATTAGACTGCAATCGAAAAGATAGCAACTAATTTCGTTATAATAGTCTTTAATAAGGTCTAATGTGCCGATAGCGACCAATAAAATCTCTATATCGATTTCATACTTGGGTATGTTCCCTCGTCAGTACATTTACTGTCTTGAAGGCGAACAAATATTCATTTGAGTTCGATTGCTATTCAATTAAATAATGTGTTATAATTTTAAGGTGGATTTTTTATAATTGAATTTGCCGAAAATTTTTACCTTATAAACGAAACCGAAATTTCGAGCTGCTGCGGTTAGTGCTGCTTCATCAGGCGATTGAGCTTGATATTCTAAGCTTCCATCTTTTTCTTCGCACATAACAGTATGACATAAGGCGAGAAGACGAAAGAACTCATGAACATCTTTTTTTCCAGAATTAACATCATCCAACAATGTTTGATCATAAAAACGGAATGAAGATTCATAATGAGGATTGGCTGAAAAATCAACTGGACTCATATCTTCTGAGATTTCCAATATGTCACCAGATTCTTCGTCAATAACTTCACCATACAATCGACCAGCAATGGAACATTTGTTAAAAGTCATTATATTCTGTGTCAAGGTTCCTGTCTTATCGGAGAAGATATATTCAATTTGACCCAATTCTTCATTCAAAGTGGTCGTCCGAGCTTTTGCTGGTGTATCTGTAACCGGATAATACATCTTTTGGTCCCAATTGATCCACAAGGAATGACAAAAGCGAATGACCTCAACTGAAACATATAAAGAAATGGGTACCACAGTGTTTAAAACAATTGCATACGAAAAGAAGACTAGAATAGCAATTATTGTAGCACCACTGGTTGGATCTTCCTGAGGAACAGCTTTTTTATCCCAAGGTAAAAATCCTCGAAAATGTTGACCAGTAACAGTTTCCCAAAAGCCACACGCAATGGTACAAAACAGGCACATACTAATCAACACGAAAACTATCTATCAACAGATTGGAAAATAACAAATAAAACAAAGAAAAAATGAGATAATTAGCTTTTCAAGTTAGTACCTAAAATATTGACAAGTAAGCAAAATAGATAGAGCCAAGAGCTAAGACAAAGTCAATAAAGTTTTTAGAAACATTCATAAATCTAAAGATTCAAGATAAAAATAAAGTTTGGGAAAGCATCTGAAAAGATTTATGAACAGTTCATGAATCTTTATGTGTATCATTTGAAAGTAAATCAGAGAAATGCTGAGAAATGTGAAAAATTATTCCTGGCTGATCGAGTTTCTCTGATTCAATTTCGTCCATCTTCTAAAACATGAAAGTCTTGACTCTGTTGAGAATAAAACATTTACAATGATTGCTGCTTACCCCTAAAATCAACAAATTCAACAATCTATCAAGACTAGTTCTTTTGAATATCGTAACTCCACTGTTTTGCATCAATTTTGTATCCCGACCAGCAAAAACGACAACCCCAAAGCACCATTTTGTATTGCGAAGAACGCAACCTCTCAATAGCATTTTATCATTGTCCAATGGAAATGTTTGCTTCTTCCAAAGTAAAGTTCCCTCGTATTTGGTTAAATTGTTATTTGGTGGTTCACATCGTATTTCACCTGAAAACAAAAAAATGACAATAGATTAGAGTTGATAGAGTAATTATTTAAAATTGTCCAGTTTTTTCCAATAACATGAAAAATAAATGAAAACAAAAATCGATAAAAGGTCAAACAAATCGAATTTTTCATGCAACTCAAAAAGTTATCAAAAAAACATTGCCTGATGAAGGTGAAGCTATTCAATTGCATTGTCCTTCAATTTTGTCATACCTATTGGTCGACATTATTGTTATTTACTAATATTGATTATTCTGTTTAAATTTGCTTATTCATTGGTAAGGATAACTCTATGATGGCGATGATAATGATAATGATTAATCAAAGGCATGCAATTGCATTGTTTTCAGTTCAACAGCGAATCAAATCAATTTGTTTAAAAAAATGAGTCCATAAGTTTCACTTTCAATGTCAACCTGAAATATGATGATAAATATGATGATAATCATCTAAACATACATGTATATCCTTTGAGCATAAAGGATAAGATTGAATTAGAAGCACAAACAATCAATCAAAAGACATGGAAAGTTTTCATTCTCTTAATAAAAATAATTGACAGAGTGTATGACATCATTAGGTCCTATCGTATATCAGATTGAATGGAAATGCATGAAACTAAACCTGTTAATCTAATATCTAATGCCTCATCTTATTAAATGGTTAGTTGATATAATACAGATATCAATAGAACATGCATCTTGAAATGAAAAATAAAGTATTGCAACAATTTATTGATCCATTTCCAATTGAAAATCACAATTAGTCTAATGAAACATCTTGTTATGATTGTTCAATCTCTTCTTTTTTTTATATCAACAGCCGTCAACATGAAACATTTCCATTTCCTTTCGTTTATTTTGAGCCCAGCAAGTTCATGTATGAACATTATACATACCAAACCAGAAAATATCACACACATTATAACCTAGATTTATAATGAAAACAAAAGCAAGAAAAAAATTCCCTTCATGATGATAACTGTACAGATAGCAGAAACACAGATGATAACCAATATGGTAGGTAAACAGAAAGCGACAAAGAGCAATTAACATGCATTCCACCATTTAATCTGTTCAGACATACCGTCAAATTTGGATAATAAATTGGTATCATCCAACAGCTCAGCTGTTTCAGGTAATGCTTGGCGACATTTTAAATTAGTCTCTCTATTCATGGAAGACAAGAAAAAACAGACAAATGAGAATGTTTAATTTTTCAAAATAAAGTCAAAGAAAATGGGTTTTACGTTAAAATTTGGGTTCACCAAAAGTACAAATGTATTTTTTGAATAGACCGTTTAGTTTGGTGGGAGTATTGATTGGAATTAAAGATTGATATATTTTTACATTCCACGAAATTGATGTGAAAATGGTTTTAAAATGGTAAAACTAAATTTCTTTGACTTTATGAGCAAAGCGAATCTCCAGACTGATTAATGTCAAGTAAATCAGATGATTTATGTTGATACATACCCATCTAGTTCGGCTGTTTCAACATAGCATAACCCATTGGGTTCACTAGTAGATAGAAGAAGCAAGTCTGCCTGTGAAACAATAAAATTAATTAATCATTTAGTAATGAGTGCAGTTTAATTTATATTCAATTAAACTGGTAATTAAAGTAAAACATTTATTTCACTCTTACCGCAACAAAATTGTCATTGTCAATACGAATTATATCACCAACTTGAACTTTATGCCATCTTTCATCAACAAGTTTGCCATTTCGTAAAACCTTGGAATTACGATTGTTAACTTGATTATCACTTCGATGTCTTTGCTGTAATAATTTTAAAATTTTATGAGTTTAAGTTTGTTTTAGATACGTATTTGTATATTAATCTAAACTTACAATATCATCAATAGCATCTTTGATTGCAGTAACAGCAAGGACCACAATAAGAGGCACAGCAGTGGTCAACCATGTGAGCGATGATATCAATGGTATGAGCTGTTAGCCGGAATAAAAAGCATTTCATTAAAATATTTGAATAAGATGATGAATCATGTAATGAGAAGGAGTGCTAATTTTTAGGTACTTAAGGGCAAAACTGAATTGAGTTATAAAACACAGATCTGTGAAAAGTAGTGAGAGATTGAAAATGTAAGAAATGAGATTCAGATCAATAAAGATCAAAATCAAAGGCTATTGTTATTCGAAAAAAACAATCTATTGCAAGGAATAAATCAATAACTCATATTTGACAAAACGATGAGAATATTCTGAAAGGCGTTATTTTTTATCAGTTGCAACAATTAATAAAAGACTCAATTTTATTCTGAATTTGATCAATTCCAAAGAAAGGTGATTTAATGCAAGTCCAATGTATGAGTTAAAGTCTGGATTGCGTTTGATGAATGCAATTTACAATCAAACGATGAATTCAATTTGGTGTAAGAAATTGAAGTATTGGTTAAATGATTTTAGTATTAGATTGTGATTGAGTCGGAAAATGGCAAGTGTTACTCAAACAACGGTGTTACTAAAGCTGTTTATCAAGTAATCTTGTTTCAATATGAACACTTTTGTTACAAATTGAGATGCAAATGTGAAAGAACAGGATGTTGATATAAGATGGGAATAAAGTAATCAGAAGATGTGATCTTCATTTCTAGGTGTCATTCAAAAGTATTTTTACCAATCACTTTCTATTGAACATAATTAAAGTCAGGAAATTTGTGAGAAAAAAAGACAAGAATAACAACTAATTGTACAGAGCTTAGAGCTTTTATGATTATCATTAATCCAGATATATTATTAGACATGACAAACATGATTATCTGTAACTAAAAAGGAAAGAAAATCAACATTAAAAGTGGAGTGGGTGAAAAAGTGAAGAGAAAAATACAAAGATTGAGGTTTTTAAGACTTAAAAATAGAGAAAAATGTGAAAATGGATTGATTTGGCAGCAATAACAGTTAAATAGTTAAAGAATTGACTGAGACTCGTCAAGGATCAACATTAATAACAAATAGGGATTACATTATTTTTGATAAATGAAATGAAAAGAAAGGAAAAAGCTTACCTGAAGAATGAGAAGACAAAGGAAATAAAAATTGGCTAAGCGACGAAATTGCTCGAAAAGATTGACAGGAATGAACGTGAACAAGTTGTACTTTGAGGTTTTTATGTAATTATTCTGTAAACATTACCAAAAGATAGAAGTGAAAAAAATTAATTACTATTGGCAACAGTAAAAACAAAAATGGAGGGAAAATTTTGATAAGGTAAAGATAAAAATGGTTTAGATTTTATCTCGTGCTTTTTATTTTCCATGTCAATAAGGGTTAACCATCTGAAATGTAACAGGTTAAATTGAGACTCCAACTGTCTCAGACAAATGTAGTCAGGAATGTGCTATAATTGGCAGATTCGGTGTTTTCCTATCAACAGAGTAAAATGTAAATATAACTTACCGCATAATTAAATCTGGAATTAAAATATGAGTCATTGGCGCGAATCCGTCGCTCATTCTCTGCGATAGGAGAGTAACCATTAAGAACCATGAAAAGAAAGAATCAAAATCACAGTTTGATGACAAAAGTAGATAAAAAGATGGTGACAGTAAAGAGTAATTATGGAGAAGATGATTTTGATAAAAAGGTGCAAGTAAACTATGGTGTTAATAAAACAATGAAGGATCAACTTTGTGATATAATGACAAGAGAAGTAATAAAGCTTGAACAAATAATTTATGTACATTAAATTGAAGGTAAATTTGTTGGTAGAAAAGCACGATCCTCATAGTAGAAAAAAAGGAGTTCTACTTGGTAATCAAGAGGCACAGATTAAAACCATGATTAAAGTCGGTTGATGAGACAAATGACAGAATTATCGTGAAAAATAAATGGATAAATCATAATTGGAGCACATTCAACAGATTCACACTCAGAAAACAGATTGATCGGAAAGTTTTGCTCCAGCAAAAGAAGCAACTAATTTGATCGCCTTTGTGCGCATAAACATGAAATTGCATTCACATAAAACTAGTGTCATTGATACAGACTGTTAGCCTTTTAACAACTTCATCGATCATTATCATCAATGGCAATAAGATTAAACAGCTTTCCAGTGTTAATTAAACTCCGATATATTTTATCTAATCAAATAACTTTTGCTTTACAATGCTTATTGGAGAGCAAATCCATAATAAAGAGCATGTTACTTCAAACTGGAAAATGGATAAAAACAAAATCGAAAAATCTTCATATTTAGATTCGTCTTTAAATTGTTTTTGAAGCTTTTCTCCTCAAAATTCATCTAATTTTTTAAGAGCAATCAGTTGACCTTTTCATAATTTTCTTGATAAAATAATGAAAAATTAAAATATGTTTATAATCATTCTATCTTGACTCAATATTTCATTTTTTAAACAAATTTGGACGAAGGTGTAACAGTAATGACAAAGTCATTGATTTACCAATTTTGAATCTCAAATATTGATTATCATGAGACTCTGGGAAAAAAGCTTCGATAATTAATTCCATTTGTTTCTTCAAATAGATTGCAATTTAAACTCAAAACTTGCATCTTCTCGCGATGAGCAATCTTTAAACTCCAATAAACACAGTTGATCAAAATTTGATCTTGAAATGATAATCATGTAAATCTTTTAAAACTTATATCATAATGAGTTGGGTCAAAGTTTGAACAAGGAGAAAGAATTTTTCTTTTTAATTTAAAAATGATTTTCCATCAATAAATTTCCGGGTAAAACTTAATGATTCAAGTTTCGAACTGAAAATCTTTTTTAAATTGACAAGAATTTTAAGATGAAAATTGATAAGTGCATTAAGATTGTAAAATCAATGAAACATCAATAGTTGGCCGTTTGAGTTGAGATGACCAATCATCGATCTTTATCCTTGAATTTCATTTCCCTTCATAATTCAATATTGAATCAAGATATTTAAGAAATCAATATTTCACTCAATCACATCATTCAAAAGATTCCCTAAGAGATCGTCAAAGATTATCAGTTACAAAAACTAATTCAATTTCATGAAAATTTTATAAAAAAATGAATTTCTTTAGAAATTTTCAACGAATTTCACTTTAGATGAAAACAGCAACAAACTAACAACAGTTAATAGATTAATAGAAATTAAATCGTACCTTTGATTGGACCTTTGCCCATCCTTTTTAATCCATTTGACCAAAGTCACAAACTCGCAGTTAACTTTACATTCCAGTTCAATTGAACTTGATTAAGTAGCAATTAACCAATAATGGAATTGAATTAGTAATCACTAAAGATAAAAGGACAACTAAAGATGTTCAACTGAACAAAAGCAAGTCCAGAAACGCGTGAAAATCGCGTTTTCCAACAAAAGCTGTTGGCCAAACACAAATGTAAAAAGGTTGTTTGATATCGTTTGCTTTACCCTTTGTCTATTCCTAGTGATAAATGAAATTTGTTATATCGATGTTTGGGCGTTGGCATTTTCGTCTTATCATCATCATTTGCTCATCTTCATCCCCATCATCATCATTATCATCATCTTCGTAACAATGGCATCAGTAATCAAATACAATTTACATCAACTTCACTTGGCATTAGTCTCAATGTTACAATCAAAATATTGATATTAATATCTATCAAGTCTCTTCAAAAGCCAACATCGATGCAAAAACTAATTGAAAACTTGTAAGATTTAAAGTTCATAAATTACTCGAGTGAATCTCGAATCAATTTAAATACTTTTCCATGATATTTGGAATCAATTTAAATACTTTTTTCCCAATTAACTTCCAATTAGAACGAGATTAATGATTGGAAATTTCATTGATAATTGTTTGTTAAGGCAAAACTGAATCAGTTTAAAGCGATGAAATTTTTAAGAATTTTCGTGATCAAAATTATGATCATTATTGGTTGATTATGTGCATGTTGTTTGTCAAACAAGGAGTGGTTTGTTCATGATGTTGAGATTTCAAGACAGTAGAGAAAGTGTTATTATGGTTAACACCCAAAGTTCATAATATTGATCAACTTGTTCATTTAAATATCTTCCGCCTTCCCTTCATCGTTACAACTGAAACAAATGAAAGTCTAAAGTTTATTTTATGTTTAAGAAAAAAAAGCAAAGTTTGATGAAAAAAATGAAGAAAAATAATGATTATGATGATAATGATTGAGATGACAATAAATTACATGGGAATGATGAACACTTTTATTTTGTTGCCATAAAATTAGGTCACTGGACTCGAAATTGACCCAATTTCAAATTAAATCAACTATATTCCATTCCATTGAAGGTAAATAATCAATATCTTCACCGTAATCATTCTGACCTCAGGTCAATATAATCAACTCCACCCAAGGTGATCCAAATAACAGGTTAATCTTTTGTTTTCGCTCATCTTCAGTTTAATATTTATATCATCATTAATCACATTTTGATATCAATTCATCGCTAAGCCAATTCAGTTTCATGTTTTATTCAACTTCATGCAATAACTAGAAAACTTAAATTTCCTAAATTGCTCGGACTTCATCCATTGATATAACAATTTTGATTTTACATTGCATGGAATAATAAATAATTACAGTTGAAGATGAATTAAGCATCAGTATTAATTACTCTGGGTAATATTTGATGGTATCAGTGAAACTGCTTTTTTACGCTTTATTGGTACTCCATGAGATGAGTTGAGGATAAATAAGCATCAGCTTTTTAAGAGAGGGCCTTTAATTAACTCTAGATTAAAATCAAACTGTCACCAAGATGAAATTGACATTTCCAGCGATTAAATAAAAGCGGATTAACAGCAAACTGTTTCTTTTAATACCAAATGTTGGTTTGATGGAAGGAAAATCTGTCGTTATTTATTAATATCTCTTTCTACCACAACATTGACATGATTGCTTAAGGATTAATCATTCAAGTCTCAAATTCACGGGTTGATCTCTGTTTGAGTATATTCAAAATTCCTGGGAAAATAATGCCAAATAATGACCGGAAAAAAGGTTCCATCTCAAATTATTAGATGCAAAATGCCATGCGTCAATAACTTGAAAATGTTAACTGTAGTTGAATGTCATGGAATTGGTGTCCTAAAACAGAAATAATCTATGAATAACTGAACAATTCATTGTACATTTATTTCCTTACAAGCAAATTTTGAATATTTTGATCCAGTTTACAATCATCGTTTCCCAACGGTCATTAAAACAGCAGATGCTTAGTTTTGACCAAAGATGCATTTTGTGCGAAGATGAAAGTCCACCCGCTGCTTTCAATACAATAATTTCGATAGAAGCAGTTTTATCAGATCTTCCATTGGTAAGCTACATACGATGTACAAACTGTACTTTCAAACACGCTGCTTGACGAGTAGCCAGCCCAGTAACCAATTAGAGCAAGGGTCAATTGATCAAACTCGTTGTTTTTATTTGAAGATTGATGAGAAAAACATCAAGTTTGCATGGATCATGATCATCAGTTATTAAGGTGAGATATATGAATTGGAAACCATTCCATAGTTAGGTTGATCGCACTTTCATAAGCCATCAAAGCATCATTATGAGGCATTGTATTTGATTCAACCCATGTAATCGTATAATAAGACTGCATTGATCATAAAATCTCGATGAAATTAGTTCACATCTGGTAAAATGTATTCCAAATTTTAATAAAACCAATATGCAAAGCACCAATGACTGAGGTGATCCAAGGTAGCTTAACTTGGAAAGCTGATTGAAATGCAGAAAGCATGTAATGAAGAGCAGTTGAGAAACAAGAGATTAATATTAGTTTTTATCGAAAAAGTTACGAAACAATTAAATATTTTTTACTCACCATGAATTGCTGGATGACACGACACCAAAAAAAAATTAATACTAGAAACAACAAAACAAAAGTAAATGTAATGTAGTTTACTGATTTATTGATTACCATTCAAAAGTAAAAGCTGAAGCTGTTTCTTTTGTTTTATATTATAATTCTTTTGTTTCACAACCGTAAGATGGCAATAAAGTCAAATTATACTTTTCAGATTCTTTTGCTAAAAGTTGATTTTCGTAAATACAGCAAAACTCATGATTTTGATAGAGTTGATTTAATTTCTCATAAACTGAATACTAAATCCTGAAAAGCTGTGTAATTATCAGCAAATCAGCATTCAAAACAATTAACCCAATCAGTTTTTCAGCCCATTACTGAAATCGAAAGCAAAAAGGTTACAAAAAGATTTGAAAAACTGGTCAATCAAAGGAAAAGATAAATTGCTTTATTGAAACTCAGAAAAAGATTCCAGGCATTTTGAGAAAATAAATTGTCCATTATAATTTACTGTTAACATTTTATTCATATTTAATGTCCAACTAAGCCTGATTGTTTCGTCTACAAAACATTGATTGTTATGATAATTTTTTGCTTCATCAAACATTTCAATGATCGCCATTTTTTATGCATTACATTGACATTTATTTTTTTCATTTTACTATGTTAATATAAATTCAAATGTAAATCATCATTTTTGAATGTAAATAACGCTTCTATTGTCCATCTATTGTTCAGTTAATCTTTTCATTTCACAGCAAAAAAACCGATCCAAAAGCTTAACCTTTTCCCTTACAACAAACAGATTTATGAATATTTTTTTAATGTACAACCGTCGCTTATAAAGTAAGAGGATTTAGTGAATATGATGCAGCAAAGGTGGCCTTTCATTTATTTTGTTAACGACTTTACATCAAAAAAGAGGAACAATAAAAGCAAACAAAGAAAAGACGAAAATGATGAATAATTTCACCAACAGATGGCCACATCAGAGCTGTTTAGTGACGTCTGGTGGAAGTTTTTTGTACTAATAAGCTTCATTGGTTTTTGCTCCTCATCTTGAGCTTGTTTTCATCTTCATCTTCATCTTTTTGCTTCCCTCTAATTTTATATTTTGCATCTCCATCAAAGCTCAAACTCTTCTTCTCTCTATTTCTCTTTCTCTCTTCTTTCCTCTCTTTCTTTCTTTTTCATTTGAATGGACATTACATTGTTAAGTGACATTTGCTTGTCTTCACGATTTTACAATTATAATGTTTTGTGAAAAACAATTGGATAACATTGATCTTCAATGTAAATACCATTATTTTTTATGTTTCATTAAATAATGTTTCCCAGTTTTTAATCTATTTGAGGTGCCATTAATTCATCTTATTATGTGGACTATTTCCCAGTTATTAACCATTTCTGTTTGTGTGATTGCAACTTCGATATTTTGTCCAAATGGGTTAACAATATTTGTATCTGCTGTTGGACAACCTTCTAGTCCACCATTCCCATCTTCACCTTCTTCCTCTTCATCTTCCCCTTCCTCTCCATCATCTTTACCTTCATCCTCATCCATTGTTAATGAGATACAAGCCAACAAACCTCTTGAGTTGCCTCGTATTATTGAACATCCTTTGGACATTGTGGTCAAGAAAAATGAACCCGCCATGTTATACTGTAAAGCAGATGGGCAACCTAAACCTACCATCGAATGGTACAAAGATGGTGAAAAAATTCGATCAAATCGACCCAGGATATTTTTGAGTGGTGATGGACTTTTCTTTTACAAAGTTTCCAGTGAAGGTAAAGAATCAGATACTGGGACTTACTGGTGTGTTGCTCGCAACTCAGTGGGGAAGGTGATAAGCCGTAATGCCACTGTCAATGTTGGTTACTTAAGAGATGAGTTTCGTTTGTCTCCCAAGAGTGGAACTGTTGTTGCTGGTGACTCGGTTACTTTGGACTGTAGTCCACCCCGAGGTTCACCAGAACCAACTGTTACCTGGAAAAAAGATGGAGAACCCATGACCCTGGCCTCACCTCGTTTTCAACTGACAACCTCGGGTAGCCTTAAAATAAACGATATCCATCCAACAGACAGAGGTATTTACATTTGTGTGGCCAGCAGCTCAGTTGGAAGCCGCGAATCAACTCCAGCCTCTTTAGTTGTCCTAGTGAAACCGTATTTCATTAAATTACCAAACAATATAACCGTAGCTGAATCAAGTTCAATTGAACTGGAATGCAAAGTTGATGGCGATCCTGTGCCTTTAATCACATGGATTAAAAAGGATGGTCAATTGCCCAGTCAAAGGTAAGATTATCTCATTACACTTTTATTTCTCTCCTTTGAAGCCATTGTTGCCAACAAAATCTATTCACCATATAAACAATTTCTTCCCTTAATCCTACCTTTATAGTCAATTTGAGCATAAACTCATTTCCATTCACCAATCTCAATGTAACATGTTCACTGTATTTCAATGAACCAGAGTGAACAAGTATTCTGGTCAGACTCATTGATAATCATTTTATTGAAAAACATTTTTGTACCATTAATGTTACAACATAAAATGAAACTTTTTTATATTAATATTCTTGAAAAAATGGTTCATTCACTTGATAGATAAATCATTAAATTTAATCGATATGTTGATGAAAACAGTTTACAGAAGGCAGAGTGTGCGTGTGACAAACTCGTGGATGAACAGTTGAATGAAACAATGATCAGTCTTTCCCTTTTACCTTTCCTTATTTTGCTATTTCAATTTAATGTAGATGTATCAATCATTTAAAAAATACACCTTAACTAGTTTATACCTGATGACAATCCTTGTTTGCTTCATATATGCCCGTTGGGTGTATTAACCATTGTCAAAAACACCATTTCAAATTTTCATGCTCAATTAAGCATCACAAAAAGCGACTTGAATTTCACCCAAAAATGTGTCCATCCTAGAATCAATTCTGGAAAGTCAATCATTAGCCATTATTACAAAAAAGACAACTTTCTTTATCCATTCTCCATTACATGTCAATTGAAAAAAAAGTAAATCAGATCAGGCTCAGTTCAATTTATTCTTACAATCAACTCATTCTTTCGGGTTGATCAAAGCCTCTGAATATCCATTGTCATGAAAATGAAAAATTTGACTATTAGCAGCCAACCTTTGCAAATGACTTTGGTTACAGAAAGTTAACTATGAAAATTAATGAATTGCTCTCGAAAGGATTAAAAGACTTTACAATTGAACTTTTCAGCCAATTGTTAGCAAAAACTAATTCACACAAAAGGATGATAATCTTGACGTGTTCCTGTGTTAATTGCATGACTTTCAAAAATTAATACAAATGAACGTCTCTTTCATAATTTACTAGCCTTGGGTCAAAAATGGTTATAAAAAATATTTATGCAACAATAATCACAGATTACATAGACCTGATTGTGAATAATTGTAATAATTATGGGTTAATGTCATTTATTTATCTTCCTTGGTTCTTCCTCTCACTCGCCATTTATTAACTCAATACAAATCTTAATGACATCCCATTCAATTGAAAACAATCAACAATTATTTGCTTCTCTGATTTCCTTTGAAAATCCTCTGAAAATACCTTTTATTAGGTTGAGGTCCTTTTTTGGTTTCCGGTCCTTGTAATAACTGTTGCATTTCACCCAACCATTAAATGTAATTAATCAACTTTTTCTGTTCAACCTAATCTTGCAAAATTAACATGAAATGATATTGTTAATATTAATGATTAGAGGATCCATTTCAAGTTAATTACTGTCAAAATCTTACCTGATTAGGTGATTCTTAACCCAGCTTAAAGAGTTATATTTGCTCAATGAAACACCGAATTACATGAATAAAGGTTGCTCTTTTCATCAAATTAATCCTCGCTTTTGTCAAACAATTGATTGAAACGCAATTTCAATTATTTATTCAACAATGATTTTTCGATCTTGAAACTTATTGAAGTTTTCAAGGTCAAATACCTGAAGATTCTTGAAATTATTTCCTGGAATTGATTATGAGTTTCCATTTGACAGTAAATCAAAGTTGATCTTTCACAGAAATCAAGTAAATCTAAAATTTCTGTCGTCCTGATTAATGATTACAATGTTGACAATTATTTCTAATCAATTCGCAATGGTTCCATTCTTGGAATGACATTTTCCTGTAAAACAAGAGTTGAATCTGCATGTTGATATCCAAATGCCTCAACAGTTGTGGGAAAACTGTTTTCTGTCCAACAATTTCATGTTGTATCTGTTTGCCTCATCATCACCATTTCACTAAACAAAGGTTGTCTCACACCAGAAATTTTATTATTCAATACAAGCTAAAATTAGTGCTTACGATTGAAACGATTTCAATGAATGAGTTGTGCTTGCAAAATGATAACAAGAGCTAAATCTTTTAATTGCTTCAGTTGAAACTAGTTGATGAATAAATCTGTTTGTCTTTCCATCTTATCCATCTTTTTTCAGCTTAATCTCTCTCATAATCTTATCTCAGGCCTGAAGTTGAATCCTGACCCAGCATACAAAACGAGTAAAGTGTTGAATTAAATGCTATTACTTAATATTTTGCCAAAAAAGCAACTTTTCCATTCTATTGGTGACATTTCTGGATCTTGACTTTTCTATGAAAATGATGATTTTGATGAAGATTAAATGGCATTTAATCAAATGGTCAAATCGTATATAACGGAACATATTTTCTTGGCATAACATGCCCATTAAACAAGTAAACTTGCTACCTAATTAAATTCATCATGAGCTTCATCTTCATTTCATGCTCTTCTCTGATTACCTGTCTTCTTCTCTTCTCCTTTGACTTTTTCTTGAAACTGATTGATGTAAATCACTTGTTCATTTTGCATCATCTTATTCACTCAACTGTCCATTACAAATTACATGAGATACATTTCTCCAGGCTACGCCTTGAGCTGGTTAAATCTTGGGTTACATTTCATCCAGAGTAATTGAGATAACTCATCACCAGTCGTAAAACAATATCCAATGTTCAGAATCACAGTTTTTCCTCTATACTGATAGACTTGAGAAACAGTGGAAAGACTGAAACACCTTTCATTGAGACCATGACATTTGAAATTTTATCACTTAATAAAAGCAAATTACTTCTAATATTGAACAAGAAAATGATCTTTCAACAAAATTAACTTCCTTGACTTCAATTAGTTCAATTAGTTTGATAAATTGGAAATCAAATGAAAGAAAAAGTTGATTTGAAGAAACATCAAAATCACTTTACCTATTGAAATATCCTTTTCACCAGTTTTATTAGTTTCATCAAAATTGATTCACACAGTTGCCAAACTAATAATGTGACATGAAATTTCCTGTTTTCCCGAAGAAATTGTCTTTTTCATGATTCCATTGAAAATGTCAGTCAACATTTAATAAAAGGAAAGAAAATGAAAGTCAATTGTTGATTCAGTAAACACATTTTAATTATTGCAACTCAACTCTAATCCACACTAAATTTCATGATTACACTGGTCTGTGATTTGATGGATAATTAACATTTACTTGTTTATCTTTACAGATTAGTGCAGTAAAACGATTCAGTAAAAGCAGAAAATATTTCTCAGTATAAGTGTAAAATTGTTTTCTGTTTATTAATTAGCCATATCAACTTATATCTTACATAATAAACTGTCTTGAAACTGTTGAACCAGTGATGAGTTTCGCCAGCTTTCATTTGCTTGTTACAAACAAAAACACAGCCTTTCAATTTTTCATTGCATCTTTAAGATCACAAAGAAGAGTCTGTTTTTTGTTTCGCTCAAAACTCACATTTGTGCGGTCAAGATAAACACCTTGACCACAACTGACTGGCCCTTTCTTTTAACCAAAAAAAGCCAGTTTCTCCTCCTTCATCTTCATCTTTACACAGTTTAGCTTCTTGGCTTTACAATTTTGTTTACCTTTTCCGTCTTTAACCTCCTTTGTATTTGTTTGTATCTTCCCTTTGTATCTTTCCTCCTTTCTTTATATCTTTCTTCTTCCCTTCTCTTCATCTTCTTTTCATCTTCTCTTTTCTTCTCTCTCCTCTCTTCCACTCTCCTTTCCCTCATTTGTACTAATTGTTGACTTTATTCACGCATTTTACGCTTATGGTTTACCACTTTGTATGTTTGTATGTTGATGTCAATCACAATCATTTTCATTACGTGATTTCGTTAACCCGGACAATATTCATTGAACAAGAAACCAGACAAAATGTTTGATAATTTTAATCTTTCCTAATGCTATAATTGTTATTACCAAATTGATATTATTTTCATTAACATGATTATTGGAGTTATTTGTGAGAAAGATTTAGCAAACTTGCAAAATTGCAATTGAATTTCCGGACTAATATCTTCATGTGATTGATAAAAAAGGGAGAAAGTGGAAAAAAGACTATTTTCTTGTTCGCTTAATCTCATCTTCTTCTCTCTCTCCATCTTTTAATATTATGTACTTTGACGTTGGCTTTTAGCTCTATGATAAATTAGCTTCTTATGTTCTGCTTTACAAGTGAAGGAGGATGTTGTTGGTTAGCCATTTAAATTAATTGGTTTGCCTGTCAGCTACTCCATACCATGAGCGTTTCCTCATTTCACGCTTACAGTAAAGTGAAGAATATTGAAAAGGCGAAAAAGAAGAAGAGAAAGAGATGAAATAGATGAAGATGAAAAAAAGGAGAGACTTGAAAAGAAGTGATAGAAATAAAAAAAAAGACCTTAAATTCAGTGTAAACCACATTTGAACTGATAAACAACTTACAAGTAAAAACAAACTGTGAGTGTTGTTGGGATGGTGTAAAGATCGCCTAATGGATCATGTTGTAGCCTTGAATGTTGATGCATTTTTCCTCACCAAAGGTGGTTTTTCAGAGAGTTGCACTTCTTTTGCGTGTGTCTCCACCCAAACATAGTATCGAGTTTCCTTTCTCTCTCTTCCCCTCAGGTTATTATAATATTTCTCTCTTCCTTTTTGTATCTCATCATGATTATGATGATGATCATCATTTTAGTGATCTTTTACAAGATGGAGCAAAAAATTTTGCACCTTTAACATCGTAAAACTGTCACATAAGAGTATGTAATACTTGCTACTTAAGCTGGAAACTGGTGCAACAGCAGTAAATTTTTTTTCTTTCAGTAAAGGACATGAAAAGACATCAACATCCTCATCACTATTAATATAATCAAAGTCAGTTTATAAGAATATAAAAAGAGAAGATTAAGAAAGAAGATGTTTTTCCATCGGAATTCTTTCAACACACTTCTTGATTATATGAAAAAATGTTGCCTTTATCCACAAGAAGGGAACATTCATGGCATTTCCATGTATCTCAATCTCGCTCACTGATTCTCTTTCACTTTTATCCATCACAAAGTGACAAAAATCAATCATGGTCAATATATTTTCCACTGAATCTGTTTCTATTTTTAATTCTCAATTGATGAATCTCCAAATTTGTCTCATTTACTCCATAATAGTGTCAAAAAATGTAACAAAATTGTTTGCTATTTACAATGAAAATCATGGGCAATGCAACTGTCGATGACATTTGATACCAAAATGATCAATGAAATTTGATTATAGCGTTTCATTTTATGCTCAAAGTAACTTCATCAATGGTTTCACTATAATCAGCTTTTTTGTAGAAAAAAATTATATATTATTTGATGATCATTAAAATTAATATATAACTGAGTTTCCCTTTTTTCTCCTTATATGATGATAATAAAAATGAAACCATTTCCTTTAGTTCAACTTCAATTATTGATCTTTGAGAGGAAGATGATGAGATGAACAAAAAACTTGTCAGCGAAAAAAGTTTGAAGGTTACCAACTTTTTTCTGTATCAATTCAATTTGAAAACTAAACTCAACTGTTTCGCCAAGTTGAAGAGAAAAAGTAAATCAAAATCGGTCAGAAATGAGTAGTTTGACCGGTTGATAGGTTGATTGGTTTGCAACAAACAAAATGAAGCAAGGCGTTTCAAATTGATGAAACACCTGAAATAAAAAGATGAAAAAAACTGTTACCTGTTTATGTGTAGGTTTATGACAGTTTTGAGCAATTGCGATTCCTTATTAACTCTTTCGTATATCAAATCTTGTAATCAGCTGATGAAATTTGATTAAATTTTGGTTCTTCTCACACTCCTTTCCGTATTTAGACACTAATCAACAAAATGAAGATCCTGCTCAAGATGAAGACTGCGTGACAAGTTGAAGTTGAACACCTCAATTTTGCAACTGAATTTCTCCTGAAATCACTTTGTTGATTCACATTCAACTTTCATGAACTTTTCTGTGTATAATTAGAGAGAAAGAAGAAGAAAAAATTGCTGATAAATGTGCAAAATGTTATCATTGCTAGTTTTGTTGAACCTTTATTCAGTTACGGATTACTGAAGGTTCACGTCTTAATCATCACTGATAATGTTGATCGTTTTAAAACTCATATTGAACTTTAATTATACATTTTGTTTTTCAACTTTGATTCTCATTAAGATAAATTTAAATTTGCAATTAACTTTGATTGTAAAGGGAATGAAATGTTTAAACATTGATCCAATTGAAGCTTGAAGAGGAACGATATTTATATTATAATTATTAATGCTCAAATGATAATCTCACAGGGAATAGATTAGCATCTTGAGTTGGTGTAAAAATTTTCCAGTACAATTATAATTATTATAATTAAATGGTAAAGAAAGTAAAAATTGTCACTGGAATCAGTTTGGTTCGCATTTTACTTTTCATCATCATTTCCATTCGCATTGACATACGACTGTTGAAGTGCGTTTAACATTTTTCCTCTAAATGTAACCTTTTAACCGGTTTCCCTTAAATCACTCTTATGGTTCCTTCATATTTGCCGGAAGTTACATTTCAAAGAGTCACATATGCGTATCTTTATAGCTTTAAATTGAATCTAAATTTAGACTCATCAACATTGGAAACAAATGAAAGTAACTGTTTTAACCCATTTATATGTATTATTACCTAAAAGGTCTCATTTTCGTCATTTTGCTCATTCGTCTTCACCAAATGAACAGTTGATCATATTACGGAATACAAAGGGAAAGCTTAAAGATATTATTCCAATGCTTTTTGCTCAAATAACTTTAAACAAAGAGTAAACTCATAACAAGATTACCAATTTTGTGTATCTATTTTAACTCTCCAGCCTTGACTTGAATCCCGATGAATACCATTTTGTCTTCATCTCACTTCAATCTTATTAGGCAAAATTTCATCTTCATATCATAAACTTTTAATCCTCAATCCTTCAACTTGAAGAAGCTATTCAATGTCAAGTGTATCTGTAAGTACATTTGAAATGTCATTTTTCAAGAGCCTTTTCCTTCTGTAAAATTAATGATAACTTTTAAACAATATTTATTCATATCCTGACTCTATCAAATTCACAGTTTTCAATATGATTAACTTTTTAAACGATTTCGGATAAAATGATAACCTCAATAAATCTTGCTAATTTAAAAGCTTACCAAATGGGTAAAGTTGTCAGTTGATATCTTTCAAACCATACAAGTTCATCAAATTTTAATTACTATTTTTAATTGCAGTTATTATTGAAGCGTAAACCATGGCAAAATAATATTATCAATATTGAAAATTGAAATTGGCCAATGTTTCAGGATTATTGAGTTTTAAGTCAAATGCTGGTCAACTATTTATGCGATTCAGCAAACTATAAATTCAGTTGCGATTTTAATTAACTTTAACCAATTCTTAGACAACTCAACTTTCTTAACCTAATCTGTAAATCTTTATTGATGGAGTGAAGAAAAAATCTGTTGAAAGGTTCAGAGTTATTTTTGTTTGATTGTTCACTTGAGTAATATTTTCCAAGGAATATCTCTCAAATTGCAAACCTTTCAACTTGACTGAAACATGATGAAAATCATGATAATAATCTCAATCAAATCTCTTTTCCAATTTTTAAAACAATTGCCGAAACGCAATTGTTTATCATCAGAATCAAAAGTAACTTATGAAGGAACAAAAAATGATTCATCATTTTCAAAGCAATTGCCAAAATTTAGTAGCAAAAGTGCAAGATTGCTGTTAACAGATGATGCTTTTCAACATTTCCTATCCTTTAACCTCCACAAATGATCCACTAAAGTTTAACTTAAAGTTACCCTTGATTAGTATGGGCAACATATAATTTTGCAGTCAATTTCGGACCTACTAGTTCAATAAAATAAGATATCTTGAAGTAAATATTAGCTTGTAACCAGCCTTCCATTCATGTTAATAGCATACAATTACGACCATTTACAAAGCTGTTCAAAAAAGTTTACAAATGACGCTTATGATGGAAAGCAAAGTGACTCTGTGCAGTCATCTTGTAATTATCAATCGATTGAGTTCTCAGCCCATCTGATGACATTCAATCATGTATATCAAATGATTCCCTAGTTACCTTTCATGTTCAACTAAAAGTTTTCATCATTTTTCCATCTGTAATATGAACTTATAATTGGTTTTAACAAGCACAAATTGTATACTTTGTTTTTATTTGCTAACGACTTATGATGTAGGTCAAACAAAAGGTTGCCATTGATAATGTCCGTGACTTTTCTCTGTTTGTTTGAGTCCGTTGCTGACCAAAGGTCAAAAATATTATAAGACAATATATCATAACCATAATAAGCCCAAAATGATACGAGACAAAAAAGGCAATTTAATGTTTTAAAGTTAATTTAAACACACACACACAGCTATGAGTATCTTGTTTCACACTTACATACTAACTAATAACTCACCTCCCATCTGCTCAAATCTCCATCATCTTATTCTCATCTTACTTTTCTCACTTTTCTCTCTCTCTCTTTACTTTCAAATCTGTCTCTTCTCGTTGACTGTCGTGTGTCTATCATTTTGTTTGCCTATGTGTCTGCGTTCAGACACCGTTTACATTGTCTCAAACTATACATTTCTGTATTGAAGATTAAGTTGAACAGCTAAAGAGAAATGAAGCAAAAAGTTGAAGTAAAAAATGGTATGCAAAGTGAGGGCCAACAATTTTGTTGTGTATGCTTCATTTGCACTGTAAATTAATTACAGCGTCAGAGGGTAGAAACGAGAAAATGCAGAGCTCAACTTGAACTCTGTTTGTGTTTATTTTATTTTCTTGAAAAACACGCAAAACGACCTTAAACGGAGCGAAGAGTTTGAGTTAAATGAAGTTGTTGCTTTCATTATTATTAATATATTATTTAAGATTTTTTGTGCTTCTTTTGCAAAAGTTGAGAGAAACTAATATTACAAAGTATACAATAAAAATAAAATACAATCTTTGTTGGTGAACATTCGTTACTCAAAAAGAGAGTCACTTTTTGCCTATTTAGATAGCTTTTGGGGGATGTTGAGGCCATTAAAGGTCGTAAAAACGACACGTAAAGTTTATTTGAACAAACAATCCGAGATAAAATATATAGATATACAAGACTCATTTAATGGAGAAACAAATGAAAGACTTTGTACAGAATAAGAAAACTGTTTAGATTGAGTTTGGATGAACAGGGAAAGGAGAGGTTAAAGGTAGTAGAGAGAGGAACAAAAAAAGACAGAGAAACAGAAGAAGCATAAAGAAAGTAATGTATCATTACTATTACATAAGGAGGATGAAGAGAAATGGGAAAATAACAAAGAAACTTGCTGTTTATATGCTGAACAGAGCATTTTTTTGCTTCACTTTCCTCCTTTTGTTTCACTTTTTTTCATCGATATTAATAATTTTCTCTATTTTTTCATACTTTACCAGATCGACGATTGGACCTGATAAAACATTAAGCATAATTAATGTCACCTCGGAAGATGAAGGGGTATACACCTGTGAAGCAGGTAACCTTGTTGGTTCAGCCACTGCTTCAGCAACTTTATCTGTTAATAGCTATTCATCTGGTCTCATTATATCATCACCAACACTTTATCATTCCATTGCCAAGGAACCTTACTTTATTGTGGGAGCCATTTTACTAATGTTTCTCCTCTGTTCCATTATAATGATTATCTTTGCTCGTCAACATTTGGGTTGGAAGAAAGCGGTTGGAGCTTATATTACGGTCCAATTGTCAAAGAATGATCAACTCGAAAAGTCCCGTCATTTGGATACTTGTTCAAGTAAAAACTCTTGGCTTTTGGAGACGACAACAGGAGGACCCACTTTAGGTCAAACAATTACTACTTCACCTGAAATAACGACGACTGGACTATTAGGCAATAAAGGATCAACTTATCATCAACATCATCATTCATCCAATTCACCTGCAACATCATCCAACAAGTCATCAGTCCGAATGAGGGAAGCAAATAAACCATTTAATCCTCATCATGATACTCATCATGATCATGATTATGATGATCACAATGAAGGATATTATGCAGAAGTCGAAGGTTACTCTTCATTAGTAACCTTTGGGAAAAAGGATTCATTAACAAAATCATCGAATGGATCAAAGATTATTCAGTCAATGGCTCCATCTATTGAACCTTATGCAACAACAAACTTAATCAATACTTATCATCATTCATCTCATCCTAATCCCAATATTAATCCCAATCTTAATCAGTATCTTGAAAGCTCCATCAATGAACGCAGAACCTGTGATCAAACTCAATCTGCCGCCTATTACGGACTTCCTTTATCGCTCTCAATAAACCAATCAACTGCAAGTGCTATTGCAAACTCACCTTCACTCTCCCGTTATCCTCATTACCAGTATCAACAGCAACATATCAACAATTATCATTCACCTTCATCATCCAACCGATCAACAACCACCAACACCTCTTCAACCTCAACACCAAACACGGGTTTAGGTTATAGGAAAGTGATATTAAAAGATGCAAGATCAAAAGATCACAATAATCGAGCAGTTTTGATAAGCGACGATCTTTACGCTATTCCTAATTGTGGACTGGACATTGATGATGTTCGTCCACCTTCTGCCAATTTTTTTCTACCCAAGACGTAAATGAAGGATAAAAAAGTTCTCCTTTTTTCTAATTGTTTTACTTACCGATTTATCGTACTTTTTACCTGTTCATTTGTTTATATGTATCGTTTGTTTGCTTTATACTGTGTGCGTGTCAAACACTTGCTCGATCAACTCTGTAACTACTGCCTCAACCAATGCGAAAACAAAACACTTTTGAGGAACATTTAGATTCTCGAAATTGGATTCTCTTTATAAATACACTACTTAAATGTCGACAACATCGTCTAATATTCCTACTTGGTGGCCTTTCAACAGATGCAATCCTTTACTCGAAGGGATTGACCGATCAACGACAAAACATGAATAAACAGACATCATATCAACCCATAGGATTTCATTTTCATCAACATCAATCTTAACTCTTGAATGATAAACTTATCATGAACCTAATTTTAATATTCAATAATCAATTCTTGCTCACCTTCAATATCCAAGGAAATGTTATCCTGTGTTCACTCATCAAAATGACCCTAGTCCAGTACCTGGTTGTCTTTACCATTCAATCTCCCAATTTGGGAATTCAAAACTTCTCAAAGCTATAACTATACAAACAATAATTCTGATAGTCAATAAGATGAAACGCACCTTAGTTTTTATTGTTGAATCCAGTTTAACATGAAACAAGTAAACAAACGAAACATAAAAAAACCTTTTTGTATGCATTCATACTTGTGTATTATATAGTGATATATTGTATAATTATTGATCAATTGCAACTCTTCTGTACAGAAATTAATAAATTTTGATGAAGCATCAATGAGCTTCATCTCAAATCAATGAATTTGAATGTTCTCAATGAATGTTGAAAACCTTTTGACCAATTAGTAAATCGAATGATAAACAGCTTAAATTGGCTGAATTTTGAAACAAATGCATCAATCTAATGCACTTAAAAGACATATAAATCAAGAAAAGTTTGATTAATGAAAGGAAGGAAAAGATTAAAGCAATCAATCAGGAAAACAAAAGTATCTGAAAAGACGAAGATTGATTCTGATTATTACATTGTTTAACCTTTTCTCTATTCCAAGTCATTAATTAACCTGAACTATTCCCAAATGAGTATAACAAGAATGATAACAATCAAGGTGGAGATCGTCTTACATTTTCATAATGCTAATGACATACAAATAATAATGATAATTATGAGACTTGGGCGTTTCAAATTGTTTCATCTTTTAATCTCATCATGATAAATGATTGAATTGAATCGATGAAAACAATTGCCAATGAAATTAAACTCTTGACCAACTTTAAACAAATTAAACTCTGGAGGTTAACGTGTGAGCATTCGGTGTCTTTTTAAGCACAACATCACTTGGGAAATCATCATCATCATCCTCATCCTTGTTTTTATTGAATGAGAAAAGTTATCATAAAATTCGCCATCTTTTTATCTTCTCGCGACTCCACTTTATAAAGGCAAATAATAAAGAAACTTGTTCAGTCCCTTTTTCCCATCTAATTAGGAATAAAGGGAAATCTCTCAAGTGGTTACTCCAATTTAGCATCTTCATCCTCATCTTCATCATCACCATCTCCATCCATGGGAGAAGTACATCAATGATAATTTATTATCACTTCTCTTGTTACTAGACTTTATTTTTCTTTTAAAGATGATAATAAGATTAACACGCGCTCTTCTCTCACCATTAATATTATCATCCCTTAACAGTTTATCCTTGTCCTTTCTCCATCTTCATCCTTCTCCTCCTTCTCATCCTTCTCATCTCTCCTTTAACCTCTGTTACTGTTGAGATTAAATTCAATTGACATCTAAACATAATATTGTTCATCTGATAGACAAATAATGGATCGAATCCAGTTGGTCAACTTTGTTTGTTTATAATCAAAATCAATTGATCCAATCAAATTAACTTTTTCACTGTTTCCCAATAACTTTGCTTTCTGCTAATCAAGACAGTTTACCTTTTCATTGTTTACCTCAATTAACTTATTGTTTGTCTCTTTACCTGATCAGTTGATTGCATGATGGAAACAGTAACAATGTTTGCCTTCATCTAATCTCACCACTAAATATTGGGTTAAATTGTTGTCCTTTTAATAACAACATAATAACATGCAAGTCTCTCATCTTTATTGATCATTTAAAGACAATTTGTTTCTTCTGGTTCATGTAATTGATTCATTTCCATTGGATAATTGATAATTGTAATGTCAAATTAGTGAAACAATGAGGCAAAGTTACATGATAATAAGCTGAATGTTCAGCCAGAAATGAGCATTTAACTAAATATTAATTATTTTCACGTTATTAACAAGAATAAAAAGATTAGATTCTTTTGTTTGGTTGAAAATGTAATTAATTTTATTTTTAGTTCTGCAAAAGGATTCAGTTAATTATTTATAGTTAAATGAATAAATCATCATGAAAACTCTTTTTTTTGTTTTACATTTGATTGTAATTGAACCAAATTTTACGATTAATCGTCGATCTTTTATCATGAAATTCTGGATTGTTCAACAGACACAAGTATAGCATGAGTAATAATGAATAGTTAATGGATGAATGGAATAATTAGTTAATGATCATCTTCATTAATTATTTGTAGCAGCAATTAGTTTTGTTTGCTTCTTTAATTAATCTTGTCCTTTAATTTAATAATCTAAATCCAAGTTAATTATTTGATGCATTTTCCCTCCAATGGTAATGACAATTATTAAAGTTTAATTTCAATCAAAGGCAAGTTATTCAAGTAAATCACTTTAAATAAAATAACGGAAAATATTCAATAATAATTAGTCGAGATAATAACATGGTTTTAAAATATTAGTAGACTAATATGTAAAAAGATGAGACTTCATGGTCATTTCAAGTCTTTCAATAATCAAGTCAAATACATTTAAGCTTGGATGATATTTCTCATTCAGAAGTTGGAACCCTAATGGTGATTCAAGTTCGCTCGTTTTTTTTATCTCTGACTCACATTTGAAGGCCGTTTCCTGAGACCGCCAACTTTTTACACTGTTTGATATTCGTGCAGGTTGATAACTCATGCTGACCAAAAAATATGAGTGTTTATGCATCTTTCATTCAGATGTGCACGGCTTAGGAAATCGACTTTCATCAGACATCAAGAGGGTAAAGAGGGTAAGAATTTCAGGAAATCATAGTCAGTGGTTGAATGACTGGCCTTTAATGACCTTGAGTCTAGTATCATGAAAATTGTAATGTCATAAGGGTTGTAAAGATGTGATACAAATATATCTCACACATTTAGTTGATGAACTAAAGCAAAAGAGTTCTAATTAGCGATAACTAAGAGTAAAAGTATTGGGAAGTGAATATTAACAAATCTTAGCATCAAAATAAAAAGATAACTTTGACCATCATAATTCAGCTTGATAGCTAAGTTTCTGAAGATTAATTTCCCATAGAAACCCAATTTCAATGTTGTATCTTGTTTCTATTGTGAGTTATTCATTATTCAGTTCATGAAAACTTAAACACTATTTGAGGCTGTTTTCCAATGTTTATGGTCAATAAAATGACAATTAACTTATTGATAACGAAATTTTAATTTAGAAATTTCTACTCAAATGAACGAGTCGAGGTGAATTTTAATTTTTCTGACGCGTAAAACCCTAAATTCAATAAAATCAAAATCAATAAGTCAAAGCAGTCTGTTGATTAATCCCAGAAAGTAGCTTAATTTACAATTTCTATCAACATTTTAGCTCAATTAGTTTTAAAATTTGGTTAAGGTTGAGTTTTGATAAGCAGATTAACTTAATTTCATCGAGTTTGACGAAGAATCGAAGATGATTAAATCTTGATTTACTGGTTGAAAAGAATAGTGTTGTTTGCAACTGATAGGTGGCAGCACACACTTCTTCTGGTTTTGGGTTAAGCCGAAAGGATTGGGTTTACTTTGTTGAGTTTCCTTGGAAATATTAAGGCAACGTATTTATTCATAATACTCTAGGAAAGGGTGAATAGGAGGTTATTAATACTGTAGATAATGAAGAGACACAAAAAGCTATCAGGGTCAGCTATGGTTAGTAACATTTGATTATATTTGTCTTCATCATTTTCCTCTTTACACAGACTCTTTTATAGCATTTTCTTGTTTCTCGTCCTTTTTTCAATTCACTTTGACTTCACAGTGAGACTCTAAAGATGGCTGATTATGATGAATGAACTTAAATTGATTTATAATCTTGATTAGCTTGCATCAAGTCTCATCAAAAACATCCACAAATCTGATTGTCACTTACCAACAAACACCAAGTAATTAAATTAAAAGACCGGCCATGTTATAAATGGTGAACATTCAATCCCAGTGTAAATATCATAAAAACCCAAAATTCACTCCCAATTTCCATTGGCTTATTTCATCTCCAAATCAAAATATTGTTTTCTATCAAAGTGCTAATTCTAATTGATCATCATCTTTAAAGTGATCTCTCTCAAAATTGTGATGATTTGTTCAGATATTAATTCCAGTATTAATATTAAAGCTTATTTGCCTTCACCTGTGATTATCATGTTTCATTAATTGATGCCATTTTGTAATTTAGTTGATATTAAAAATCATGGGAACCTGTTTCGGTCGATATTCATGTTCCTGTTGTAATTGCCTTTACCTTAAACAGCCTCGATCATCAACAATCTCAAGTTTAACCTCAACATGTCGAAGTAGGTCAAAGGCTAATTCATCTTTTGCCCTTCATCGACAAAACTCGACTCTAGAGTTTGAAAATTTCATGTATGATTATAGTCTTGAGGTAAACCCGAACAGAAATTCACTTCATTTTCATGTTCTAATTGCTTTTTATCCTTTTCTTTATCAGGATTCAGCAACAACATCAACATCAGTACGACATCAACCAAGGTAATGAATAAATCATAGAATCCATTTCATGTAGTTTCATTTATCCAACTGATTCATTCAAGTTTATTCAGATTATTGATCATTTATTTTGTTGTTTTGTGTTTCCATTGATCAATATTTGATTTGTTAGCAAATGCAAGGTGTTCGAATGCTCTCATGAAAGCGATAAAATTACTTGTTTAATTGATTAGATGTCATTGATAGACAAATGATGATCAAACTATTGGCGTAAATTGTCACCCAATAATAACAATCACATTTTATTCAAATAATCTTTTCTTTTTTTCAGCATTTCCACTGTTGTCAGATTCGATGCTGAGAATGCAAAATTGGATAATTTCAAGGTAAAACCATTATTCTTTAATCCAATTAACACGATAATTGAATTAAAAAACGAGTAAATTCAGGTATCGCAATTTGATTGGAGTAACCATAGAAACTGGTTAACATCTGGTCATTTTGAATGACAGAATTGATTTGTTTCCTTCTTTTGCTTCTTTGCCTGTTTATTTTCAACTAATCTGCTCAGTTTGAGAATCAATTCAATTAATTTTATTCCTTCTGATGTCACTAATTAAATTTGTGATCAATTCTTTAATTATAGTTGCCTGTTTATTCCGAATGCAATGGTAAATTAATGCTTAATTATGGAGTTAATTACATCAATCGAGGTGAATCACCTCTTCTCGATCCTATTTTACTAAACTGTGATTCTTTGGCCATTGAACGAGTCAATCCGCTGTTGACCGGTAAAAGCCTTAAAAATAAGAGATTGACCAAGAAGGAGCGAAAAAGAATGAAAGAGGAAGAAGAAGATGAAGACCGAAATGATGGACCGAATGAACCATTTGTTCGAACTGAACCGTATCTTCTTCCAATGATGACACTCGAAGATTCAGCTACACATAACTGGGACCATGAAAGCAGTGATGTGATCAATGGTGGCAATGAATTGGAATGGGACGATTATCAAGATAATCTGATATTCAACGATGAAACAGATTCCTTGATTCAAGACATTGAAGATTTAACTGCCAGAGCATTGAAAGAAACGGGATTAAATTAACTTTTGTTTACTTCATTCAATTGTGAGATACAAAAATATAAAGTGAATGTCGAACGTCAACTTACATATCTTTCCAATTTGTTCTCGAAACACTTCGACCTCCATAAACTCAAAAGTCAAGTTCCAATTATCATTGAAATTGAAATGCATCCAAAGAAGAGTCAACAACTGTAATTGTGAACGCATGCTATCTATCGAATGAGAATGAAAAATATTACATTTTTCCTGATTTGCGATTAAGAACTCATGTCTTCATGAGAATTTAAAATCGGGTTTATAAATGGAACTTTGGATATTTTAAAAAATTTTAGCTTAAAAAGTGGCTATTGCAATGGACGTCTTAATTTTCGAATCGCTTCGACCTTTTCCTGTTGGTTAGCTTCATTGTGAGTTTATATTCAAGATCTTTTTGGCGGTCAATGAGCTCTAGTAAAATCTACAGATGGATTGAAATTCTTTAAGCTAAGTAACTCAGTTGAAAGGAAAATGTGATGAAATTAGAAAACGATTTTATTTTGGGAAATTTGTTGATAAAAGGTTGACCAAAACAAATTGCTAAGGTATTTGAGTTGAATGTTCATTTAAGCTGATCAACTTTGTATCATATTGTATGTATTAGTTAAGCGTGATTCGGATATTCATGTAAATATCGATTTATCCAAATTGAACTTCTTTTTGTACATTTCATGGATTGATTGTATTTGTTGAATGACAATCAAACAAAGAAGCCTAATTTTGAAACAATCTCTATGTTTATGCTTCTGTTTCACAATCAACCTTAATTATTGTAATCATTAAATCATAATTAAAATGATTCGAGAAAAGCATCTATCAAGAAGAATCGGATTAACCTCAATATTTTTATACGAGTTGAAATATTTACATAATTACCATCGAATTGGATTGCAGTTGAAGGATTCACTGTTGGTTGGCGATTTACCGATTCAATTGACCTTTACGCAATGAGTCATTGCAATATGATTGGCGCATCAAACTGTTATACCTTTAATCGTTTCTGTTTAGTTTTAATCGGGAAAATTGTCCTTCATTTCATTGCATTAGAAGTGAACAGAAAATAAAACAAAATCTAACTAAAAACCGGCAAATTTGACCTAAAAACCGTTTTCTTATTTTAACCCAAACAAGATTATTTCATTGGGTAAATTGAACAGCAACCATTGAGGTTAATAAAACGGCTATTTGGCCCACTGAGATGATTATTTCCGGTTTATCATATCTTCAATTGCAATCATCATTCCATTGGTTCAAATTAGATCATTAATACACCAAAAAACATGAAACATCTTATTATTAGTTTCATGCAACATAAATTTAATAATTTCATTACCTTTTACTCCAATTATATTGACTTGGATAAATTAGTTATGTCAGTCGATATCTGTTGTTATCAGAATCATGAGCTGATTTCATTCCATTTCGCATTCCAATCATCACAACATATTGTTCCTCAACACTCAAGTCTCAAATCATTTGTTTTAGTCTTGATTCTTGTCCAGTAATTGAATCTATCAACTTTGTTTTGTTTTCATCCATTTCTTGGAACTAGATCATGACAGTCAGGATCAATGAAAGCGATATTCTCCTTCGCGTATAAGTCGCGTCATTTGGACAAAGTAAAAGTAAAAAATTACTACTTCACCTGAAATAACGACGACTGGACTGTTAGGCAGTAAAGGATCAATTTATCATCAACATCATCATCATTCATCTAATTCACCTCCAAAATCATCTAACAAGTCATCAGTTCGAATGAGAGAATCAAATGAACCATTTAATCCTCATCATGATCATGATTAATCTTCATTAGTACCTTTGGGAAAAGGATTCATTAACAAAATCATCAAATGAATTTAAGATTATTCAGTCAATGGCTCCATCTATTGACCATTGTTATTTCTGTCACTTCAAGGTACCAGGTTAACCTGTCCAAATAAGGAGCGACCATTTCTGATCTGATCGTCGACTTTTATCATTTTTTGGAAAGATATTTACACCACATGAGGTTCCAGGTTAGTGCCGAGTTATCTGAAATCCATCAGGTTAGTTCTGATTTATTGATAGAAAGAAAAATTTAATTGAAATGAAAATCTGAATAAGAAAATTTTCTCGAAATCGAAGGGTGATCATGACTCTTGAGTTACTAGTCAGCCGTGAGCCGGCGTAGTCTGAGCGAGCGTTAGAATCAAAAAACCTTTTTGAAAAAACTCTTTACTCGGCTGAATTGTAAACTCAAAAGACATTGAAGCATCTGTAAAACTTTCTGTTTCCATTTTTATCGTCATTTCAGGCTCTTTTATACCCAAAATACCATAAAAATTCATAATTTTTACATTATAACCCCACCCCTTTAAGGAATTTTTTCATTACTCCTTTCTGCAATGCGTAACCCTAAGTTGCATGTTTGTACAAAATTTCAATGAAATCGGTTGTATGGTTTGGCCGCAACCGTCAAAAGATTAGATTTATTTTCGTAGAGCTTAGTCTTCGCTTCGCTCAGACTAATATTATAATTTACTAAATTTCCAAAATAAATGCATTAAAAGGATCAAAAAACCTTTTTGAAAAAACTCTTTACTCGGCTGAATTGTAAACGCATCTGTAAAACTTTCTGTTTACTTAAGTACCTTAAGATTAGACCGAAGTGGTTCGAGTACAATATTTATATTATATTTTTCATTTGAACTTTTGACTGAAATTTTCTTCACATTTCGATATAATATTCAAATAATATCATAATTTCTTATACTCCGAAGCAATGACAATTGAAACGACAATATTAAAATGGACAATATTAAAATGGATGTTTAAAAGAGAGACGTGGCTCGGTAAATGGATCTCTCATCTAATGATTATGTGGATAAAAAATAAAGTGATCCAACTATTATTAACAATGGTGCAGAATATTATGTTCATAAGGTGATTTGGATAAAGTATTTTCACCTGGAATGAAAATGAACCGCGAAAGGTTGCAACTCCATCATCCGTCAGAAATATTTGGCAATATCATTAATTCAACCCACAATAAAAGGATTTGTATTACAAATTAAAATGTTTCCAGTTGAACAAATAAACCTCTTCTACTTATTTCAATTTCTAGTCCAATTTACATAAAAAGAGTTGAATATTTTAAAATAGCCAACAAATAATTTCCAGAAATAATTATCGATTCAAGTTCGATATGAAAAGCCTGAATAACTTTAGAGTGTATTTTAAATATGTTAAAACTATAACTCGTATCGACTCGTCACTTCAACACCAACACATACATTTGGAAAGCTATTTGAAACAGAAACACTGAGCAACTTCAGCAATTTAATCCATAATCAATAGCAATTCAAACTCAAGCCTTGAGAAGCAAATGTCACCCAAATTTGACTCTTCAGATGGCGCTTTGTACTTGAATTGTCATTTGAACCTGAAAATTGAAAACTATTTTCAAGTTGTTAGTTAAACATAACTTAATCAAATGAACTGTTGATTAAAATAATAAGTTTTATTGACTTCATTCAGATTCCATGATCACATTTCAAGGTGTGAAACAACTTTACGGTGAAATGATTATTCAATGAAGCAAAGTTGCCAATTGATTCATAAAAGACGAATAATTTGTTTTTTTCTTGATTATAAATTGCTTGAATTGATAATTGTTGGTAAGAGTAATTGAAATGTTGCCTATTTACGTTTATATCAACAAATTTCCCCTGAAATGGCAAAATTTATGTGTAATAACATGTTAGGTTAAGGTAAAAGTACTTTATACAGAAATTGTTGATTGATAAATGTTAATAATCACAAGTGATTCATTTACGCAAGGATAACCTGACATTGACTTGAAGAAGTTGAAGAAAGATGAAAAAAGGTAAAATTGATTAAATTAATTCATGGCTGATTTACAGATGCATTAACAACTCAATTCTTAGCAAGTTCATTGAATGTTTCAAATAAGAGCAATAATTGTTTACTTCAACTTGAAACAAGTGCGAAAGGGTTAAAAAGTCATTTCTATCAACAATTAAGCGAGAAAAAATGATTTAACCGATTGATTAAAGAGCAATCAATGTTTAAAATGAACGTTCAATTGAACAATAAATTAAGTTAAAGACTGTTCAACTGTCTAATCAGATTTATTACATTAATATTTACAGTTTGACGCCCAAAAAGAGCAAATAATTACATTAAATTGTCTCATAACTAAACTTTAAACTTTGAGCTGAAAGACAATCAAAGAGTTTATTGAATCAATGGTTAACCTAAAATTGCAACAACAGTTTTTGCCCTTCAAAAGGTGCTGATGTTGAGGATAATAGCGTTTACTTCATTTTGTTATTCCAATTAAAATTAGTATTAATGAGGATAATCATCATCTCATCAATCAATCACTCTTATCCTTTTAATAGCTCATCAGCTTCATCATTACACTAATCAAATGTAACAACTTAAATGGTATCTTTCATCTTGTTACAGATATTTCATTTCAGGATTAACGATATTAAAGATTAAAGCAAGTTTCATTAAAATGGTTAATCCTTCAGATCCATCAAAATGTCTTGAGAGGTTTTTTCATGGAAATTGTTGTTTCTTTTTTTTGGAGCGAATTTGCATTTCTGTGTTTTCTTGGCACCTTCAAGTAGACCTTTAATTGTTAGGCTTGTTAACTAATTAAAGGTTTCCAGATAATCTGATTGTTACAGGGTTACATTGAACATGTCTGCACATTCAATTCCCAAGGTTGATAAATTGTGTTTACCTTTTCATCCATTCACCTTAAGGCAGGAACAAAGGTTATGATTTTTCAATCTCATGAGTTGAAACATTTTGCCTTTTATGTGAATCAATGTTAATATCTTGCTAATTGTAACTTGCAGTTAATGATAAACTTACATGTAAACTGAATTTAAATTTGCTCACATGAGTGTCATCCTTGCCGTTTATTAATTGTTTGATTGAGAAGTTTACACTTTTCTAATTAAACGGATAATTTCAAGAGCTTCAAGAGTTGGATAAAAGCTGTTTATTGTTATTATTATCTAATCGTTGCTTTTTTTATTCTGTCAATTTGATTGACACAACATGCTAATCAACTTGTAATATGACCAACTTGAAGAAAGAAGTTAATTGTCAATGAATCTGTCACTCAATTTTCATCTTCATGCTCATTCTTGGTTCTAATGTTAGCTGAAAAAACATTGAGACAAAAAACGGAAACTCGTTTTCCGTTCATCTAGAAGGATATAATAGTCAACGAAAGTAGTTCAAGTGCAAGGTAAGGCGATGCCGGAAAATGTAATCATGTAAATGCCAGAACATCGTTCTTGTATCAACGGAATCAGGAAACTGAATGGAACGCCATTAAATGTCAGAACAAGAACAATTCAAACTTTTTTAGATTAACCTTTAATCGCTTGAGACAAAGAAGCACCTATTAGCATCTAATGATTAAGAAAGTGATTGTAATGTCACAGACATCGCTTCTTTCATTCAGAAGTTAAACAAAAGTGTTTAACTTTTGTTAGTTACAGGTGTAATAAAATATAAGAATTTCGGTGTCGCTAAGGAATTGTTGAAGTAAAATGATGTACAAGTGTTCAGGCGTTTTTATTCATCTTATTGGTTGCCTCTTCTGGAAAGGTCAATAAGGGCAGAGTTCTGGCTACTGTTATTTGTTATGGTGGTCGGTCAGATGGAAAGTCAAAGCTTCAGTTATTGTAGATAGAGGTTGTATTACAGATGTACTTTAGATGAGATTAATTTGATTAGTATTTCCAATTCGCCAATTGTTGAAATCAATTGCGTTTTACAGATTAAA